CGATCCGTCTCGCCGTTGACCGAGTTCCCGTCCCTTTAACGGCGGACCGCGACACGATTTAAATCGCAGTTGCGCTCACGTGTACGCGACTCGTCGGGGGAAGGGAGGGCGGTGCGTCTCTCCGCTCGATCCGCTCGATCCGCCCGATCCGCTCGAGCGACACGAGCGATGCCAAGCGAGAGATCTCGGCTCGGCTCAGCGTCGCGCCAACGGTAAACGATCGACAAACGCCTCGTCTCGAACTCGAACGTTCTGGAAGTGACGGCTCGTCGCCTCGTCGTCGCCTCGTCGTCGCGCGTTCGTCATCGCCGCCTACCCGTCGCCCGTCCGGTTTCGTTTCGACATTCGAACAGAGGAGAGAAGAATCGAGTTCGGAAAGGACGAGAGAAAAGAAATGCTGGCGCCACTTACGGGGAACGGACGGTCCAAATCGATAGGGTCTCCGAATTCGGATGCTTTGTCCAGGATGACAGACGAGTCCATTTTCTGGACAGTTCGTTCCGTGACGATCGCTTCCTCGGCGTTTCAGACAGCGGTTTTCTAGCCGCTGTTAGAGGTTAGGCGTGTCGCGGCCGTTCGCCCTGTTCGGTTTCGTGTTCGTGTTCGTGTTCGTGTTCGTGTTCGTGTTCGTGTTCGTGTTCGTGTTCGCGATCGAGTTCGCGGTCGTGTGGTGCAGTTAGCAGATCTTTAGCGGGTTAAGCCTCTCTTTTTAGCTCGACTCGGCGGGGATCGGCCTGCGAAGCTTGCTAGACAAGGATGCGGTTAACGGAGACGCGTGCGAAAATTAAGGGTACTGCGGGCACACTCTCGTCTAACAATCTGTCAATGATTACCGGGAGATGCGACAAAGTCCGTTTGCGTGATCCTCGCTTTTCGTTACGCAACGGCTACACCAGAGCCGTGTCCGCCTTTACTATCGGTCGTCACTCTCCCTCTCTTTCCGATCTTTCACTGGTCACGCACTCTCTCGCGCGGACGAAATCGAGTACTCGCGGCGACGACGACTCGAGACGAGAGCGAACGTCTCTCCTCGAAAACGGGAATAATGCGACTCGCTTGCCCTGCGACTGGATAGCGAAACTGTCACCGCGCCGCCGAGGCGACTCGAATATATTTGTCGTGTGGGACGCACCGAGGCCCACGTGACCGCCGAGCCGACCGCGGCCGAGCGCGCCCGAGGCGAGCCGACCGACTGTGCCAGACCCTGCTAGAACGTTCCTCGCGCTTCTCTGCCGTTCTCTAGCGTTCTCTAGCGTTCTCTAGCGTTTTCTATCGGTCCGTCTCGACGAATCGACCGGACGGAAGGAAACGCGTCTTCCCGGACTCGCGGCAGTCCAAGAATCCCGCCAATTTGGAAACGGGCGGCGGCTCTCTCCGTGCGTTCGAACCGACGGTTTCCTTCTCGATCGAGATCGCGAATGGCGGCCGACCGATTCGAAGGCGACTCGCCCCTTTTTTTCGAGCGGTCTCTCCTCCTCCTCTCCTCTCCACGGCCGCGTTCGCTTCTCTTTCGAATCGGTCCGGCGCGCGAGGCTGTGCTCCAGGAACTTGTTTACCTATGTCCTTTTATAGTAAGCTCCGATTCCCTTCGCGTTCGTATTCCCGTCCGAAAAGTTGCTCGCGACTCTCGGTCTCTGGCCGCGCTATCTATAATCGCCAAGAATCGTCCTATAAGCGGAAACGATCCGCTAAATATAATCCATAGCCGCGTCGTTCCTCTTCGAAAAGAATCGCGGCGCGTTCCAGGCGACCGATTCGATTCGTTCGGCTCTTTTTCTCCCGGTCGCCGCGAGTCGTCCGATTCGGAGGCGAATTCGTTTCGACCGAGAAAACTCGCGTACGAACACCGAGCGCGTAATTTTAGAGCCGGCCGAATTACGAAATGGAAGCGCTTTCGAAACGCCGACGAGGAGGCGCGTCGCGATCGCGAACGCCGCTCCGACCGCCTCGGATTTTTCCGATTCGAGATCCGAATGCGTGCACGAATACGGAAAACGCCGAGAGGCCGAATAATCGCGATTAATAATAGTCGCGCGCGCGGTTCATCGGTTGACGGGCGAACCGGCTGTCCGCTGGACAAACCCGCGGCTCGATTCCCCTCGACGTCCACTCCGCACCCTATTTATTTAGGTATTTACGAATTTACGGATTTACGAGCGCGGCCCGAGCTCCGCCATTGAATATTCGTCATACGATCGGATTCTGGCTCGGCTCCAGCCTCTTCGGCTCGCCGTGAAAATATGCCTGGGCCAGGTAAACGCGTGTCGCGAGATCGCGTCCTTTCCGTCCCGTCCCGTCCCGTCCCGTCCCGTCCCGTCCCGTTCCGTCCCGTTCCGACAGAGACGATCGAGAAAAGATCGAGCTTCAAAGGTAGATTACACCGATAGCCGTGGCCGAGCTTTCGACCGAACCGAGTTGCCTAGTTCCACAGTCCTAGAAACGTCACGTTTCCGCTTGTCCAAGACTAAGCGTTCCGCGATAACGAGTAAACGATAGGCGAATGCGGCTCGGTGTCATTAGGGAGTAATTAACGAGACGCGACTGGACGGGCGCCAAGTTCACCGGGAACAAGGTTTCGCAACCGAACGGGACCATTCGAAATCGGCTTTCTCGCAGCGTTCCACTCCTCGACGGAAAACCGTTTCCTCCACGGCGATTCGAACGAAAAGGAGAAACCGACGATCGCTCGACGACACTTACCCAACGGCTGCGCGCCGCGCGTTTACCGATCCACGATCGTGGATATCGTTTCGGCGCGTCGACGATTTTACCGAGCGAAATGCCACGCTCGAAGCGGTGTCGGGACGGTCGAGAGGTTTCCGATGTTTACACAACACTGAACAATATAAATATAAATATAAATATAAATATAAATATAAATAGGAAGGGAACGCGAGACCGTCGACGCGTGCGTGTTCCGCGTCGCTCGCCGACTACGGGACGAACCGACGAACTCGCGACTCGCGGATCCTGCTAGAGCTGCGGATTACGTAATTAGCGTAACGACGAATCGCTCGGAGACGCATCGCGGAACTGGCCAACTATCCGCGGATTCGATCGCGTTCCAACGGCGAGCGTTACGCTTCTCCCCGCCGAGAGAGATGGCAACACGCGGGCAGGGGATATAGATTCCACGCTGGCATCGCTAGCCCATCGCGAGCCCATCGCGAGCGACGCGGCCGGCGTGTCCTAGCTTCGAGCGTTATCCGCGATTATCGCAACGTAACGGGAATCTAACGGGAATCTAACGGGAACCGGATAACAATGGAGCGGAATGCGACGACGTTATCGCGAGCGAAAGTCCCAGCATAGCCGCCGGCTCGTCGGGAGAGTCGGAACAGCTGATCGACGATGCGAGAAAACGCGCTCACCGCGAGTCGCGTCGGATCGCGACGAAACGCCGCGGATAACGACCCTGGACCGTTTAGAGTAATAGTGTTGCCATCTAACGGTGCAACCGATCGATCGATCTAGCCGTATCGCGCGAGGTCCCCGTCGATAACGCGAGCTCCCCGTCTTTATTAGCCGATCGACCAAGGCAGGTAAGCGTGCGAGTGTGCGTCGAGTACTCGCGACCGCGCGACTACCGGAAATCCTCGTTTCTAGATTTCAAGATCCCCGCCGAAAGCGAGTGCCGCGTCGTTCGTTCGAGGCGCGCGAACAGAAATTCGCGGGCCACCGAAGTCGAGTCCACTCCGCTCGCCGTTTCCGTCGAAATCGGAGAATCGATTCGAGAGAGAGAACGGAAGAGCGACAGCAGGAAACGGATGGACGGTTCGATGGGTCGATCGATGGGTCGATCGATGGGTCGATCGATGGATCGAGACGCAAGGACGCGGCCCTCGACCGCGGGCCCCGGCTTCGATCTCGCTGTTCGATTCCGTGCACGCGTCTCGATCGCTCGCACGATCATCGATAATGACGATCGATGATCTACGGTGATCGATAGCGTTGCCAGGAGCTCAGAAGGTTCGAGGAGTTCGATCGACCGCCGCTCGTCGGCAAGCCGGCGTACCGTGACGTCATTGGGCCTGCGACAGCAGACGCATTCCTTCGCCGATGCCGATTCGCGACTCCGGGTCGATTCTCGCTCGATCCCGGATCGATTCCGGATCATCGATCATTTTCGATCCGTATCGTCCGCCGCGGTAGCGGACGCGTTCAATTTCAACCTGGACGTTCGAGCATCTTTCGATGGACGCGCGCGTGGCGGCAAGGTGTGGCAGGGTGCGGGTAAAAGCTAAAAGCTGCTCCGGTTAAAAGCTCGAAAGGTCAAGGCGTCCATCGATACCGGAATAAGCTCGCGCCTGTACTCGACCATTTCCCAGCGACTTCCGAAGCGTTCGTCGCGAGACGGGGTCGTCGTCCCTTTTCAGAAGCGGTCCGACGACGGTCCGTGGCGCGCCGAGAGATTTTCGCTTCGCGGCCCGAAGCTTCCTCGAGGCTCGCCTCGTAATTTTCACGAGGTGACTCACGGAGTAATTAGGATGTACCGCGTGGATCGTGACATATTCGAGCCCGCGCCCCTCTCTCTCTCTCTCCTCCGCCCCTACACCACGGACTTTCGGACCGTCTCCTCCACTTTCCGCGGCGGCGTTCGTTCGCGAACCCGACATTCCTGTCGCGCGAGCCATCCGTTCCGCGAATCGAAGGGAAAGGGCCGCGAACCTCGACCCAACAAAGACCGGAGGAATGCCAGGTTGGCTTCGGCACCGCGGCAAATGCTTTTTCGAATCGTTTCCTCCGGCGCGCGCGAACCGATTTAAAGGGAACAGATTCCCGGAGGGGTGCTAGCAGTCTAGCATCAACGTTCCAAGAGGATCGTCGAAAAATCCGTTCGACTATATTTCGAGGAAAGCCTGCGTGTCGCGAGTCGGATCGACGGATTATTCTGGATCGACGCTCTCGCTCTGGAATGGCGAGAGACTCAATGGCGGCTATTTTGAGAGATCTCTCGGCGTCGTCGGCGTCGTCGGCCGTCGAGAACGTTCCTACGTTCGCTCCAAGATGGTTCGAATTCTCAGGTTGCCTCGAACCGCGACGGGCACGAAAACCAGCGGTCGTCCGAACGGCTCGGAAGCGTTGCAACGAGTTGGCGCGAGTGGACGCGCCGGGTTGCAGCGGTCCCGTTCGAATCACCCCAACCCCGATCTTCCATTCCGAGCCCCTTTCGAACGGAAGAGGGAGACCGGACCGAGTCCTGGTTCACGGGTTCGAACGAGATCGATACGAGTCTCCCCGCAGCTGCGTTTCGTCTATCCGAAACGAGCGATGGACGACCGCCCTGAGAACGCCTTCGAAACGATACAAATTTCAACCGAGATGATAAGTAGCTAAATAAATAGATGGAGAAAGGGAGAAAGGGAGAAAGGAAGAAAGAAAGTAAGGACGAGTTACCGGTATCGTCCGACGACGACGCAAACGCTTTCACGATTCGTCGAGTCACGTTCGACTCGCCGCTTTCGACTTTGCCTTTATTCGCGTTCCGAACGTGTCCTACCCGTTATCGCGAGTGTGCACGATATTCTACGATAAACCGAGTCGTTCGCAAAATGCGACGTTGTGTCGTTGAGTCTCACGGCAGATAACGTAACGTCAATCGCCGGAACGTCGCGGAAGATGGCGCGTACGAACGTTAACGAAATTTGTTTACGAGAAGGTGTAAGGTCACCGTTCGAGTCAAACGGCGAGACACCAGTCTCGCTGTCGATTTTTCCTCCAACGATTGCTCGACGCCGCAACCTTGCGCGTTCGAGGCGATCGCGGGGCTGAAAAGAATTCCATCGGAACGGTTGCGACAAATTCGATCGCGAAACGATCCGGAGACCGGTCTCGACTACGGCGATCGCGATCGGCCACGTTTGCCGGCGCGGAACAGGTGACTCTTATCGGCACGACTTTTCGTCCACCCGAAACGCGAACCTTTCACGCATCGTTTTCTCGCTGGTTCATTCGTCGAGCGCGTCGGCTTCGAGACGAGAATACCGAGAGCAACAACTAGACACAACTGAACGCGTGCGAGTCAAACGACCGGGAAATTGGGCCACTCTATAAATAAAGAATTTTACCGTTCCAATTGTACCAGAAGAATCGTACGATCGACGAGCGTTCGACCGTCGAAACATTGATCGATTAGATCCTAGAGTCGAACGATTCGGGAACATTAAGAACGCGAGTAGGCCAACGTCGACCCGATCGGAGAGTAATCCGCGATTATTCCAAAGAAACGCAACGCCAAGCAAAACATATATATATATATATGTATATATGTATATATGTATATATGTATATATGTATATCGAATTACTGGAACAAGAGAGTAGGAAACTCACTCTTGGGAAAACGGTGTGCCGTTCGAACGGATCTCGTCCTGCCGATCTGCCGGCGGTCGGTTTGAAGAAGGATTTCGCGTCTTCGTCGAATTGCTGTTTGATTTCTTGCAAAAGTTCGTCGCCCGATTTACCCCGCAATTTGTCGCCGAACTTCGACTTGTCACGGAAGTAGTACGACATTTTCTCGAATAGGCGCGCACAACTGTTTCATCCACGTTTCCAATACTCCACTCGTCGGCTCTCGGTCGAACGTTCAGATACTTGACTGAGAAGAAGGTTCATTTGGCCGCGGTTGTACACCCGCGTGTCGAACGAACTCGTACACCTGAATCCCCGAGAGTGCTGCGCGTGACTGAATGCCGCGCCGAACCGCGATCAGGGCAATCAAAACCGCGCACGCGCCTCTCGTTCCACGCGACCGTTTATTGGCTCGTTCTCGATCCTCCGCCAATCGCGGCGCGTATCCCTCGATCATTCCTCCCCACCAGCCAAGAATCTCGATGCAACTTCCAATGCGCGCAATGGCAGACTTCTTACAATCTAAATTTAATCGACGGCTATTTAAGATTTGCAGTTTTTTTTATTTATATACCGGCACGGCACGTACCCGGTGTGTGTAATACTTTCGTTTCTTGCAACACGATCGAACATCGCGTTCGAAGAAATTACGTTCGTTCTTATATAATATAGAAGAAAGAAACCCCCACGATGATAACGAGATACAGTTGCTATTCTTTCGAACATTTCTATCGCTTCTCCGCGGTAGAATCGTTTCGTATGAAAATTACCAACGATCCCTAACATTCGCCTGCACTCTATACTATTCTGTCATCGACCTTATTCATTATTTTCACCTATCTTTATCCTATATTTCCGTATCCTATATTTCGATAGCATTCGACGACTAATCTTCCTGTAAAAGATATGCAACTCTACGATCGTTCGATCCACGATTTCATTCGTACACGTTCTTCGCGCTACATCTCAACATTTATGATACAATGTCCTGTCGTTTTCGAATGCATCGGCTAGGAAACGCACTCGTCCGCACATACGCGATCGCTTTCAGAGTCTTACCTAATAAATGTGTGTCAAATTCGTTTAGACGTTGTGCACAGTTTCTACGAAATCTTTCATTTTATTACACCGTTCGATTCACTCGTAATCGGTTGTTGTTTCATTTCATTCCTTCGAAGGTTTTTATTTCAATGTTTATATAACCTAATTGCTTCGAACATCTAAAGGTTAATTTCTTTTTTTCTTTCATTTTCTTTCTTTCGATTCGTTTGCCTTCAAATTATTTTATTCGGAAATAGTGACGCATTCGTTTCAAAGCCACATATTTCGATATTTTATGCCAATTAATCGAACAAGTCTCCATTTTTCATTACCTTTACAATTTTAATCACAATCGGTATTGTTATTTTACTTATAGGTATACTTAAAAAGTATAGAAAATGTCGAAATTCTACCACTGTATCCTTTGTCAAAACATAAATGCTTCCATCGTGGACTTGCATAATCATCATATTCGACAACACACCTTGGAAGAGTTATCGTACACCATTATCGATTTACAAGGCTTCCAATTCAACAAAGAAAACTCTATTAAATCTGTTATACTAAGCAATAATAATAATAACAATAAGAACTTATGCAATCATTTCGTTATCAAGACCGAAAAGCCAGATTACCATGATGAAATGTACTGTTCGTTACACTGTAGCCCATACATTGCTTGGGAACAGGAATTGAATAAAAGAATAGATATAACCGACGATGTCTTTTTTAGCGTCGTCGAAAATCTATGCGCCGATTTGAGTAAAAGGAAGCAGAGAGGAACAAAGAGTAAGAATAAGGCGAATCCTAGTAATACGAAAACTAAAGAGAATGTAATTTGGCTCACAGACAATGACAAGACTAAAACAGCAAATAAACCTTTGCAAGAATCTAATCATCTGCCTATGCAGATTTCTAGAACTGCCTCTTCCAGCATCGAACATTCTGTTCATAATACCATGGTTAACAATGAAATTTTTAACATCGAATATAACAATGTTACTGCTCTGACGCTGTTAGATATGGAGCCTGACAAACATTTTTTAATCTATGATCCATCGAATGCTAGCTTTTCTTTGGGTTCAATCGATGCTGTGAGTTCTGAGAATACAGAAACTCTTATGGAAGAAACTGTGGACTCTATTTGAGCATGAAAAAAAATGTTAAAATTTAAGTGCAATTCAAATAAGTATTATTCCTATTTGTATTAACGTTAATCCCTATTTAAAGTAAGTCTTTTTTATCGGAACTTTACCTTGATTACCAGTATGCGAGGAATGGAATATTTTACTTTTCTTTTAATTTTTATTTGATCTCATCTATGTACACGATAATCCACTGTTATTAATATGTACGCGATGCGTAAAGATATTATTTATTTTTCTACGTGGAATAAACATATTTCTCATAATGATCTCTCTCTAGTTTAATTACAATTTCCCTAAATATAAAATTACAAGTAAAAATCGTGAAAAATCAAGTTACATCGATTTACAGATAATAGAGAATATTTAAATAAAGAACTGCATACCGTATTTATGTATGTAGCTGTTAAGGCACGTTATTTTTAATCAATAACAATCCATCGAATTCACATCCTTTTGCTGATACATGGTCAGAATGTCGTCTAATATAGATTCAAAACTGGTAGTGTACGTGGTCAACCAACGGCTTTTTTCTTCAATAATAGTTTCGATGTTCGAATTGAAGACTCTTTGAAGAAAAGATTGTCTAGTCACACAAGGTATAAGCTGCCGAGTTTTTTCTTCTGTGCTTTCTGGTTCTCCGCTCATTTTCATCGAATTTTTGTAGATAGATGCAAGTAGATTGGCGTCGTTCGCATCTACAATTTCTTCTATCACGTTATTAGAATCGCAATACCTCTCGGTAGAATTTGAATTTGCCACGTTATTCGATGCTGCATATTTAACATACGAAGTATCTAGTGTAGCACAATCTTTAGGTAAAGGCAATTCTGGTATAGGTTCATCGAGTTTGTACTTTAAAAGGAATGATTTCAGTTTATTTATTATGGTTGCTGATGTTTTGCATACTTCGAAGTCACTGTCATCCTCGAGAGTAATTAAAAGAACCTGAAATTTCCAATAACAGATTATTATTTCCTGTATAAGAGCCCCGTCGTTAAAATTTACTTACTCCCAAGCAATTCTGTCTTGCCAATTCGTCCAATGCTTTGTTGAGTCTTCGTTTTATTTCACATTCGTTTAACGATACAATTTTCCTATGTTCTTTGGAAAATGTTACATTTGGAAAATGACCGTCGAGTACCCCTTGATCGGACAAATGTGACTTTATGAACTGGCTCCAGTATTCAAGGGCGCTTATTTTCACTTCCCAATGAAGATCGAAAACAGCAGTTGTCGACATTGCCCGTGTCATTGAATCAATGATATCTTTCCTAAATAACAAAACAATCTATACTTTGTAAACACTCTCTATTAGTTCTATACAATTACACTTACGGCCACTTATAATTCACGTATAATTCTTTAATTAATATCACAGCTTCCTTTCTGATTATAGCTTCGCTTTCATTGTTAAGCAAATCTATAGCAAAATCCTAAAGCATACAAAAGCTTGTAACCCGACTTGTATCTGTTAATGTTCTTATATATTCTACGAGACGTACCAGTAAATTCAATTCCGACAACTTTTCTTTCCATAGCTTGTTTATTCTAACAGTCGTGGTAATGAAAGCTAAAGCAGATGCTCGAACGTAACTTTCACTGTCCGTCTTAGCAATATCGAGTCCCAATTGTAGAAAATTATTTGTTAATAAAAAATCTTGAAATGCTGGATATTCTGTAAACAATTTCACAACAATTGTATGAATGCGTGCAATTATATCTGCATACATTATTCGTAAGTATACACATACTGTCTTCCGAAATTGCAGCAATTGTGTTTAGAACTTCTAATACGCTGTCCCTTACTTCCCAATTTACATCGTGCAATCTTTTAAAAAGCGTTGGTCCTATTTCGTTCATGTGGCTATCTGCTTCAACAAGTAATACTAAGTTAGGTGGCATAAAGTTTTGAATTGCCAATTTGCATACCTTCAATGCTTTTACAGAGACCTGGAAACAAAATTTTACAATGTTCAAAATATATGTATGTATATATGTACTATTTCTGTAGATTGCAAAAAAATGTGTACCACAGATGTAATTCCTTGGTGATTTAAAATTTCTTGTCCGAGGAATAATAAACATATAGTCTCCACGCATTCTCGCCATTTCAACTTAAACTTTTCGGTCATCACTGCCAAGCCATTGAGAAGGGATGCTAATAATGCAGGATGATCGACTATGGGGTTCCCTTCTAAAGGGGACATGATCGTAGGTTTCTTCGAGCCATTTTGCAGGTTTGTCATATCGTTTGCTTCTACATTGTTTGTCTCGATACAGGGATGTGGTAAAAAATTTTTAAGTACATGACATAACGTTTGGAACGTAATTACCGCAATATCCTGTTACAATATCAGTTACAATTATAAACAAACATTTTGAAATTAAATATTAATATAATTTACAACATACAATACACATACCCTGTCCATGATGTCCGTTATTTCTAATATTATGTCAATAGATACTTTGCAAATTTGTGCCAAAGGTAATTCATTTTTATATATAGTGTCTCTTATATTGTACGCTAATCTCTGTACTGCTGTACATGTTACATTACACATTTTATTTATAAACATATCAAATAGATCATGAGTTAAATATGTCTGTCTTACACATACAGCCAAGGGTATAATCTGTTAATATAAGAAATATGTTACAATTATTTCTTAATGATAAAAATATAGTATAACACAGAAAATGCTTACCATTAAGCTTATACACTGATGTTCAAATTTGTGTTGTTGCGGTAGAACAAATTCATGCAACAATTGAAGCTTTTTCCAATAAATCATTAAAAGTTTGTTTGTTTTCACAATCTCTGTTATATATTTCTTTGAGAGAAGCATCATAGACATGTAACACAATTCATAACTAAATTTTTGTGATACTTCGGCATCAATGGTTTCCTGTCCTTCTCTGACTGCACATTTTAATGGTATGAATAAACACAAAACCAACAGTTTGTGTACATGAAGTAAAAACTTTGTGCTGATACATGCTTGAAAAAGAGCTTTCACTCTCATCTCCAAATTAATAACTTCTTGACATAATTCAGGTATGGTATTATCAATGTTTGCAAACAATGTATTTTCCAGGAGACTAGTCAATAAGTCTAATGTCGTACACAATAATTTATTCTGTTCTAAATAATTATCTTCCAACTTCTGACACACTTGAGATTCAAAATTGTTAGTTATTAATGGTGCTGCGATTGCTAAAATAACTTCTTTACAAAAACTTGTGTTTTGATGTTCATTTAACAGCAGAAGGCACAGAAACTTTTGACTTTCACGTGTAACGTACATAGTGTGATTCCAATGTGCATACTTTACAATGTCTTTCCAAACATCTATAAAACAAATATTATTATTATTATAGCATTCGTATATTTATTAATATTAAAATTATTTTATTTACCAGAATCTATAATCCATTGTCTGCCACTCCGATGTTGAATCAAGTCTGATAACATTGTTGTATAAGCCATTTTAATAGAAGATGTCACATTATCTTCGCGAAGTTCAAAAATATCGCATAGCCTATTGTATACATTTTGGCAATGCCAATAATGGAAATGCACCTCGTTACGGGAAATAATCCCTACAAGTTTCAAAGTAAATATACCTATAGGCTGTGAAGGCTTACCATGTAAGCTCCAACTATCTACCGCTTTTAAAACCCATTTTTGAAATAATATGCAATGTTCGTATTCATCTGTAGCACCTAAAATTCAAGATATCGGATGACGTAGAACCACTATGATTACATATTTAAAACAACAAACCAACAGAACCAAGAGGAAAATATAAGACATACGAACTAAAATGAGTTAAAATGAGTTTTACATTAAATTGAAAATTCCTTACATTGTTTCACATTGTCAGAAATATGGGTTAACAGTAGATCAAGGTAAGTAGTAGACACTATGTTATATTTGGGAAGCAGAAATAAATCCAAAACTTCGGACAATCTTTCATTAGTTTTTAACGATGCCATTGTGCTCTCATATGAGAATTTTTAATAATTATGCGAGAACACTAAGTGGTTTCTCCTTTTCTTTCCATCTACATATCTCCTCTTCCGTCTCTAGTACGTTGATAATTTTAGAACGTGTAAACACACTACGACTCTTGAGAATGAGTCATATATTCTATAGCTAATAGCGGGAAAAATTATTGGAGTACCGTGTAAAATTGAAGAATGAGTTACATTACGATATAAGCGTAAAAAGAGCGCCACGCTAGCTCCACTTGTTTCTATCTGTGACATGATCAACTTCGTTGATACCACCGCTCTGTCCAATAACGAAAATGGCTGTACCTAATGACCAATCAGAATGAAACGAGATGCGTATGACAGAAAAGAAAAAATTTCTAAGTATGCTTATTCTAAGCATGTATGTAGCTATATTAGAGATGCTAACTTATTCCCCTCGTGTTAGTAATCTGTGAAGCAACGTTCCCCTACTACTTCTACTCAAGGAGTTGCCCAAGAGTTTTGTGTACGCGAGCAGTTCTATATAGTGTTAAATACACAGGTAAAAGTAGGTATGGTGAGGGTAACTTTTTCGTGAGGGGAGTGTCACTAGAGTGCCCGCGGGCACCAATTTAGACGGCTCTGTTCTAAAGTATACTAATTATTTAATGGTTTTTTATTAACAAATCTAGTCTTATGATATAAGAAAAGTTTCGTAAATTGTAGACATTTAACTATGTAGGTAACGTGCCCGAGTTTACGTCCGTTACCAATTTCAGCTGTTTACCACAGATGACGGTATAATTCCTTTGTGACTCTGTATCTATAGTACAAAGCATATATCAAAATAAAATATTAATTACAAACTGTACAATTAATAATATTTCGCGGAGAATATGATACCATTGAATGAAGCTTGTGTTCGCAAAAATTATACTATTTTTCTCTTTAACGTGTAATCACATGGTCTAGGAGAAACTAGTTGAGAACACCCAACGTTGAAATTGATGCGTTCGCTTTTAGTTGTTTGATAATGTGAAGTTTTTATCCGCCTTTTATATATTCATTTTATCACGATTTTATCTTTAAGGTGCAATGAACTTTGTTACTCGTTCGGTTTTAAGTACACATGAGAGGTATTTCTAAATCAGTGGTTATCAGAGTGTAAGAATTCGTCGTCAAACTCTGTAATCGTATTTAAAAAATAAAGGTATTTAAATAGTTTAGTTGTAACTTGTTTAGTTTTCGTAGTGTAGCTTCATATTAATAAACACTACGTCCTATTGTGTATCTCTTTTCTCCTAAGGATACATTTCCAGTTTTAATTGTGCAGACAGTTTAATTTATCTGCAATTTGTTGCGCATACAAATGTTTCACGATGGAACTGCCGATTAATTGTACTGTCACAAATGACACATTCATACTATGGAAGTTTTAATATTCTTTCGTTTATACGTATGTGTATAAGTACATGTATCAATTTGTTCAAGAGGTAATTAAATACATTTGATTCTTAAAACATGCAATAATTTCAAATTAATGGAATTTTTATGTAGTGCGCATGCATATGTCTTGATTAGATTAAGAAAGTGCTGACAATGAGATTCTTTTATCTGAAATAGCTGCACTGCATTTCTGTGTTGTGTGGATTAGCTTCGGTGCCAATGAGCGTTCGTTAATATAGATCGTTTTTTTAATCTGTATTTTTTTAACAGTAAATTTATTTCTTGCTTTCACAGAATTTCTTAATTATTTAAATATGGCATGGACACATTATCAATGCATTTTGGCTCTACTCATGGTTGTTTCTGGGTCATTTAATACTTTGTCTGTCAAGTGAGTTGTTTAAATCAACATGTACATTTAACTATTAATTAAATTCAGTTTCTTTAAATTTATGCAATTTTTCATTTACCAGATACGCGGATAGACAAGTCATAAAAGGTGAAGATGGACAGCCCAGGCATTTCAATCATCCTTTTATGCAATCTTCTTTCATGTTTATAGGAGAAATGCTATGTCTAGTTGTATTTAAAGTTGTATATAATTATTATAGTCGCAGGGATGTAAGTATTATTTATTATACATATACATATAACATACCATTATCGTGTATAATTCTTACAGCACCTTACAGAGTTAAATATTAATATTAAAGTGTGTAATTACAGGATGGCTCCGTAGATAACAATCGTTTAACTAAAGGATCACGCGTGTTTAATCCTTTGATCCTGTTCATTCCTGCATTATGCGATACATGTGCTACTTCTCTCATGTACATTGGCTTAAATATGACCTATGCAAGTAGTTTCCAAATGTTACGTGGTGCTGTTATAATATTCACAGCTATACTTTCAATGGGTTATCTAAATAGAAAACTTGAGAGTAGAGAATGGATTGGTATAGGTATGGTTATAGTTGGTTTAGCTCTTGTCGGACTCAGTGATATAGTAACTATGGAAGATTCTGATATGGGCACAAATTCTATTATAACTGGGGATTTGCTTGTTATATGTGCACAGGTAAAACTATATTCGATACAATTCGGTGCTTCTTATAGCCTTTCTTGAAAAATAAACGGTATAATTATAGGTCATAACAGCTGTCCAAATGGTGGTGGAAGAAAAGTTTGTGGTTGGTGAAAACATACCAGCATTACAAGCAGTTGGTTGGGAGGGTACGTTTTAGATATAAATCTTTGAAAGACACAATATTTAAACACGTATTTTTTACAGGTATTTTTGGATTCATTGCAGTGTGTATAATTATGATTCCTCTGAACTTTATACATGCTCCACCCCCATTTGCAGACAACTCTCAAGGTACACTTGAAGCCACCAAAGATGCGTTCGTCCAGATTGGAAATAGTGGTCATTTGCTGACAGCAATACTTGGTCAGTATTTTTATTAATAATTCGATCGGACCTTATATAAATATTATATTAAAATAATTTTATAATAATATATTACCATTTTGTACAGGTATTACGTTCAGTATAGCATTCTTTAACTTCGCGGGTATCAGCGTTACCAAAGAAATGAGTGCTACTACAAGAATGATTTTAGATAGCGCTCGAACTGTTGTTATTTGGGGTTTCTCTTTGGCGCTTAAATGGCAATCATTCCATTATTTGCAAGTATGTCGTTTACCGTTTTTTCATGAGTTTATTGTATACAAGGCTACGGAGTTTAATACAATTTCGATATTTTGTGCAGCTTATTGGCTTCTCCATTCTGCTTACTGGAATGTCGTGCTACAATAATATTGTTGTTCCACAATTGGCAAGGAAATGTATATATTATCTAGGTCGCCACAGACCACCGCCAAGTGACAGGATCATAATAAATACAGCCGCTGATGATCTCCCAGACACTCAATAAAACCGATATTTTTCTTCAATTGCTACCGAATATTGATTAATTTATGACATTGAGAACTATTTTGCCTAGTTTCTCTGAAGAACGGTAAAGCCTGTGATCTTAATGTTAGAAGAAATTCGTTTTTTCTCCCTGTAAATTTGACCGTAATATTTAAAAAAGAAAGCTAAACTGTTCAGTATAATTAACCAAATCAGTGAATATTCTTATCGGTGCATTAAACACATTATACTAAACATTTTCAGCTTGTCACTCGAAACAAGTATTTTTGGAATGTTTATCGAAGCTCTCTATACAAGTTCAATATCAATTTACATGTGGCATATAGACTTCATACGAATCATGTAAATAGCTCTTACGTTTTTCTTTCCCAATATATTTTGTCCGCTAATCAGTATATAAATATTTTTCAAACGTTACAAGATTTAATAAAACTATCATTACCACCACCACTGTTTATTATTATATTCGTGTCGATATTAAACCCAATTGTACGTATCAATTTTCTTTACAAGCATCATCAACATTTCAAGTAGGTAACCGCAAGAGCCACGAACACCGGTCAAGGAGAATCCAAGGCATGTATTTGTCTATGCATAAACGGAAATTGCACTCGAAACATTTTATTGAACGTCATTCGTATTAAAAAATAGTTACGTCTCTATTATTTTATGTATATATATATATGTTTCAATTAAAGGCAATACTTAAATGTTTGACATCTTTTATTTTGTTCGCATAAGCCATAAGAAAAAACTACTTTGTGCAACAAATTGTTAATGTAGCATGTACACATATATAATATGTGCATATAGCACATTTTAATACATACGTATATAAAGGATATATACATGCATGCACATACATACATACATACATACATACATACATACATACACGATGCCGAGATATTTTTCATAAAAAGCTTTTCGAATATGGTAATATCTTTATTCTTAAAAATGGGGAAAAAAAAACAAAGTTTGTGCTGCCATCAATAAATATCGTTTATAAGAGCTAACAAATTAGTATTGAGCGTTAATTGACAATTATTTATCAGATTTTTTCTATTTGCGTGTCGCTTTTCAATTACATAAAAAAAGAGAGAAAAGAGAAAAAAAAAATGCTTTGTGGAATGTTACCTTTCAATTACGCAAATTAACTTGTTCTGTTCTACAGGTTCGTTTGATCTTTTTTTTTCAATAGATTACACTGTCTACTATATAGAAGTTTCCGATCTTGACTTCATCATCGAATACAACTTCGATTCCGAAGAATGAGTAGAGTTAAGGTGGACTATACAACAATTCTCTATTACCTGTGTCTAAGAATTAATGTGTCCTTACGGCTATGAGTAAGCACGTGTGACATGATCATTGTAATAGCTATCGAAACCTTAAATGAACTCGTAATATTTATTCTGCGTTTCTGATAGACAACGCGAATGGAAGATGAATTCAATTATATTGCTCTGGCAATACATAAGAAATATCATCCCAAGGATGTCGGTATAGACCTTGTTTCAACCTCTTTTGATCCATATAATGACCTGTAGCAATGAAATTTAATAATTATATACT